TGTGTGTGTGTGTGTGTGTGTGTGTGTGTGTGTGTGTGTGTGTGTGTGTTTTTAATGTAACTGATTCAAAGACCAGTTCTGTTTCATGGAAGTCATGTAGCCAGGGGTAGGAGAGATCTCTTACCACTGTGAAGATTTGGTGATGGGCATTTCATGAGTGTGAGTCAGCTGCTAAGAATGGGGGCAGACAACATAGAAATCACCCTGGACTGAGAGTTAGAGTCCTGGGTTTCTGTCCTACTTGTTACTAATCAACCGTAGTGCCTAGGGCAAGGCACTTCAGTTTTCTGCTGTGCCCTAGTTTTTCCTGTATAAACTGGGACAATAAGCTTGTCCTACTTACCTCATTAGTTTGTTGTGAGGGTCATAGGAGTCAGTGTGTCTAAATGTACTTTAAGTCTTAAAGCTCTAGAGGTGGGGAGGGACAATGTCTCTCCTGCCCCTCAGGAGAATTACAGCTGACACCTCCGTAGCCAAGTTCAAGCTAACAAGAAAAGCACACCAGCTTTTGTCACTCATAGCTCTATGCGGCATAGAAGCCTTCAGGAGGAAGACTCAAGGGAAGATGTTTATGTCACGTTTAGGTTTCGTGAAGCTGGGTCAGTTGTGCAGAAATATGGTCAGATGAAAAGGACTCATCCACTGGTAACAGGCCGAGTGGACCAACCAGAAAGGCCTGTCTGTTCAGATTTTTCTTGGACTCCTTTTGGTAGAATTTCTTCCTCATTGGTGTGGAGCAAGCTCTTTTCTGGAATGAGGTCTTATCACTTACCGTCAAACAAGGGTGGTTGAAGAATTTCTTTATGACCAGCACTTATGGGAAGTTGGAGGTTAGAGCCATGTTTTCAGGTTTTATGGCTGGTTTGAGGAGAAGGTTCTCGTTTCTGTGAGGTGCTTTAGGGAAAGAGTGGAGGTTAGAACCTGAAGACAGGAGGGGCTCACAGAGACTTTGCCTCTGGGTCCTTCACTTAGGGATGTTTTTCTGAGTCCTAACAAATCTACCCACAGAGACAATGCATCACTGTTTGTTTTTTTCTTTATATGTTGTCTAGTGGAGCGATCAAACCTCTAATCTGATGGCATTCCATCTTGACTGCTGTGGACTAACACTGAAAACTGAAATCGTACTTCTGGTATGAATTGATAAAGGAGTTCGATTGTTATGGATATGTGTGTATACATATGCCAAACTTAGAAATTGTCAGCTAGAAGAGATGCCGAGATACAGAACAGCACGTTTAAAACCTTGGTTAGATCATCTAACAATGGAGAAAATGGAGAAATTTCTACAGTAGAAATTCTTTGACTATGGAACCTGGAAAGGTATGGAAGTCAAACATTTACTTGCATTATTAGAATCAAACTTTTTTTATTGGAAATAACTTTAAAGAGCACTCTGATTTATTCACTATTCCTCCCGGTCCATTTTCTCCTCCTGCTCTTCTTCCATGCTGAAAGGTGAACACCTTCAGCACTAAGCGACACTCACAACACTTAGAGGAGATCCGAAACCAACTCTTCTCACTTGAAAGAAGAAAACATGGAAACTAGGTTAGCGTGTGGTTTGTCCACAGCTACACATCAAAGACATTGACAAGATTATTCTGATATTTCGGCAACTCATAATTTTTCTTTGGAACCAGTTTTCAAGACTGAAACAAGGGACTGAAGGAAGGTGGAAGTTAGATTTAGAATCTGATTCCGGGACTAGACAAGATGCACAATGCTGGTGTGGACAAGAAATGAAGCTCAGCCACGGCCATGGCTGAGTGAGTCATTCCAATAATAGACCAGATAGCAACCGAGCCAACTTCATAAAAGAAAGCCATCCAAGCTGGCTGAAGGGAGACCTTGAGTCATAGAAAAGTAGGCACAATGAATAGATTTCAGAAGTTCAGTCTGGCTAGCTAAAATGGGTTGGGAAATAACAGAAATAATAATGTTTCCAGTAAGAGTAGTTCTTACTGAATGCTATCTACTAGTCATGATACTAGTATCTCACATAATTCTCAGCTTAAAATTTCAAAAAAAAAAATTAGTAGAAATAATGATTCTTTTAGTGAAGAAGCAAACCAGGGCATTTTGGGAAAGCAGGAACTTGATTTGCAGAAGTTCAAATCCCATCACTGAGGGAGGGAGAAAGAATTCGAAGATAGCTAGTTCTAACATCAACAGCTGAAGAGCCAAGACTCATTGGTAGGTATGCAGTGTGGGGCTCCCACAAACTGTCAATGAGTTTGAATAAAGTAAGTTACCCAGAACCTACATCTAAAATTGTCTTTAAGTCATAAGTTAGCTGATAGTTAACATCTCCTGTTGGTTTGAGGTTATTTCAATATTATGTTTCCTTTTCACTGTAGATGTTAAAAAAAGGTAGTGGTGATTGGATCTTGTCAAACAATTAGTTCTGGAAGGTTAATGTTTATACAAAACAATAATCAAGTAATTTGAATAGCAGTTAAATATTTATTCTTTCAATAAGTATTTATTGAGTGCCCATGGTATGGCAGGCTCCATTCTAGATGCCAGAGATACCACCATCTCTATTTTGATGGGACTTAGATTCTAATGAAGCTGAAATACAATAACTAAACAGCTAACCGAATATGGTGATTTCAGATGGCAGTAAACATGCTATGAAAAAAAATAAGAAAGGCTGACACATGGGAGGCAGAAGGAATTGATCTCTTTATCTGCTTCCCTTTCTTTAAAATATGTATGAGGATCTTCTTATAATACAGAATACTCATCAGAACTTGGTTTACTATTTTTTTTAATTTAAAAAAACTTTATTATAGTCACTTAGTGGTGGCGCACGCCTTTGATCTCAGCCCTCAGGAGGCAGAGGCAGGCGGATCTCTAAGTTGAAGGTCAGCCTGGGCTACAGAGTGAGTTCCAGTACAACCAGGACTACACAGAGAAACCCTGTCTCAAAGAACAAAATAACAACAAAATGTTATTATAAAAAAAAAATACCCTGCAAATAAATCAAAACATCACTCACGGACATCAACCAGACCCAAAGTCTATACAACTTAATGAACATCTGCACAGTTAGAATGGGCATTTGACACCAAAGCTGCAGATCTTCCTACTGAAATCTTCACATGCAGTGTAGGATACATTTCATGCACCTACGCACTACCAAAGCCAAAAGCTAAAGTGACAGAATTGAAACTAGAAAAAAACGTTTAGCTCCATGCTCTCTTTTATAACTGGTTTCTATTACCTACATTCAGTCCTTCCCTGTCCTCCGATACTTAGCTTTTCTTGTTTTCTTTTTTTCAGGTTATACTGTACTAAGTGTGCATTTATTTACATAGACACAGGTATTATTGCCTAGATTCTCCATATGAGAGAAAACGTGCATTTAAGATGCTTTTGTTTGGGGTTGGGGATTTATCTCAATGGTAGACAAGCCCAAGGCCCAGGGTTCCATCCTCAGCTCCAAAAATAAAAATAAAAATAAAAACTTTTTTTTTCTTTTGACACTGTGTAACCTCGCTTGTTATTATCCATTCTAAGCCCATCCATTGTCTTGCAAATATTTTAACTTCATTTTTCTCTAGAGCTGAGTATATGTGTATAAAGATACCAAATAACCAACAAGAATTGGGCTTAACGCCTGGCGGTGGTGGCGCACGCCTTTAATCCAGCACTCAGGAGGCAGAGGCAGGCAGATCTCTGAGTTCGATCGAGGCCAGTCTGGTCTCCAGAGCCAGTTCCAGGACAGCCAGGGCTGGTCCACAGAGAAATCTTGTCTCAGAAAAATCAAAACGAAAACAAACAAACAAAGAACTGGGTTTAAAACAAACTTCAAAAGTATGCTTTAATTAGAGGGAATATTAATCAATAATTGCCTGCTTCGTTAGGGCCAACCCCGGAGAAAGCACACTTGGGCGCTGTGTGCCTGAGGGAGTCCACGTAAGGTTCCCTGCACGGATTCCGCTCCATTGTTGGCATTTTGCAGCATCTCCTTTCTGAGGAACTCAAAGCCTGGATCCCAACCAGCTGTTAAAGACTGATGAAGTAGCTGACTGCTGTGGTCTGCTGAATTCACTCAATAAAAGCACAGGACACATCCAGCCACCAAATTAGGCCAAGTTCCTCATACTGCATCTCCTCGCCCCGCCTAAATACAAGGCGAGGTGCTTAATCCTAGGGCAACTTGATCCACCATGCTTTGCTGATACCCATGGGAGGCCTGCCCCTTTCTGAACAGAAACAGAAACAGAGGAGGAGTGGATTAGAGGGGGCGGGCGGGGTGCAAAGAGTGGGGGAGGGAAATGGGAGGCAAAGAGGGAGGGGAAACTGCAGTCAGAATGTAAAATAAATAAATTAATTAATTAATATTTTTTTAAAAAGGGAAAAAAAATTAGGCCAAGTTGAAAATCCAGACTGGTGTCCCGAAGTTACTACCAGGAAACATCCAATCTTGGCTATATCGTTTCCATAATGTTTCCATCACCAATCAATAACATTGATAAATACGGTATAATACTATACAATAAATAAATAGATACCAGAAATTCCAAAGTCTCTATTTTTATGGGATTTCTAGTCTAATGAAGATGCAATATAATGTTTGGGAAATGCTGACTGCCATCCATCTGCATAT